GGTGCAAACTTTACTTTTGTATATATTCTCACTTCATACCAGTTTCTGAAGGTTTTTGTTTTTTTTGTATTTGTTTGTTGTTAAATGCATAGCCACAAAATGGGCTATTTGGGTTGTACCCACTGTGGGTATCGAAACCCAATTTTTAGCATTATAAGCCCTCACACTTAACGCTGAGTCATCGGGGAAGGTTTCTCAAGGGTTAGCTACACTAGTCGTCCTTACTTTTGAATTAATATTCTAGAGGGGAAAGCAGATAGCAACAGCACCCACCGCCCACTTTTGGACTACATTTATCGAATAGTGGGATTTAATGACTAATCACTCTTACAGCGCACTCATATTCCAAAGAGCAAATTAAATCAGTGAATTGTTTGTTTGTTTTGAATCCATAAAATGGCACAAGTTCGTATCTGGTAGTGTAGTGTCTCAGTATCAGTTCTGATGATGGTACCTTGCACAAAGCTACACAATGGGCTATCTGTGCTTTGCCCACCACGGGTATCGAAAACCCGTATTCTAGCGTTGTATGTCCGCAGACATACCGCTGTGCCACTGGGGGTCTAAATTAGTGAAAAAAAAATCTAATTAAAGTTTAAATAAATTAATAATACAATATGACGAAATTTAACTTTTTTTTTTCTTTCAGAGCTTTCAAACACGTGAGATTTAGGAAGAAAGCCATGTATATTTATCTTATCCATTTTTTAAACTTTAATTCTAGATTTATATGAGAAAGCTTTATTTCGCTCCTAAAATAATATTAGATGAAATCTAAGCCTAACTATCACCAAGACACGTGGAGTTTAATTGAAATGATTAAGGTTAGTTTAATATAAATACATTAATTAAATTAGTATTATCTATACTTAGAAATAGAATGTCAAAAAATTATAGCACTGAGTTTAACTTAACTAAAGTCTAACTCTATATCGGTTCTATAGACATCCAATAGTGTAATTTTGTAAAAGTAAAAGCAAGACAATAATTAAGTTGCTGTATTGAAGTTTTTTATACTGTCTCAAAATAATGTGCTTAGGCTTATAATACATCTGATTAACTGGCCGTGTTCAGACTTAATAAGAATTTACTGAGTTAGTCCATAAAAGGTTTTAACCAAGTTTCTAGTTTAGTATTAGTAACAGTTTGCCCTAAAGAAATTGGATTAAACTTAAACTTAAAGTATAGCCTAGTGCAGTTGATGACATTACTCCACAGACAAACGTTTGATCTAATGCTTATTGCTAGGCCTCTCATTCTACCAAACTAAGGTTTAACATTACCTCTTTATAAACAAACACATGTACTACAGTAAATATAAAATACGTTAAAATATAATATAAACCAAACCTACATATTTATAAAGACCAAATAAATATTCAGCGAAAAATAAGATGGCCTATCCAACATCAGATTGAATTCGTAATAATTAAAAGAGCAGTGAGGCGACTGTGCTCCCTCAATTAGGTTAAAACGTTACTTACCATTGTAATTATTCGATCGTGGTAAAAAAAACAACAACACAAAAACATATTATAAGTCAAACCAAATTGTTTATATATATATATAAATTTAATGCTATTTCGGGTTGTATTAAGTCAAACTTCCTAATATGTCAAAAATTAATTTGTTGAAAACATGGCATATGTCACTAGGTTGCAATTTTTTTTTTCAGATTCCTCTTAATTAAGCCGTTAAGAATTTCAAATCTGAGGCATATTAAACTATTTTCTGTCCTCCACACGTCGCTGCCTAACAGATCTTTCCATTTAATACCAGATCTCGTCAACTGAGTTGGACATGATAACACACAAAAGTCTATCCAAAGTTCCATTTTATATGCTGTATCAAACGTTTAATGTTACGGGTTTAAACACCCATAGCTAGCGAAGCAATGAGATCTGAAAGGTCCAATGTTCGCGATAAAATAAAACGATACTATGGATAGACATTTTAATCTGTTATCATGTACACCTCAGCTAATGAGTATCAGTATTAAACGAAAGGCCTCCTGGGTAGTTATATGTGTCAGACAAATGCTGGATTGAAGCCACAAGCGCAAGGCTACTGCAGTGGTTAAACAATTAAGCGCTTATTCAATGACCCCTCCCCATTCTCCACTGTTTGACGTTTACCTGTGTAATGGGTATTTTTCATTAATGCTGTTAATTTCTTTTTTGGGGGTTAAAAGTACAAAATATACCAAAATAATATATATGTAGATTAAAGTTATTTCGAATTAATCGCCATGAAAACAATTTAAATGCAGATGTTTTTCGTTCCCACATTCCTCTTAAGTTGTTTATTGCAGCTCGAAATTAAAGTCGTGTAAAAAGTAACATATCAGATCTATTGTTTGTATCACCAGATTTCAGCATTTAAACCGTAGCTTTTAAACTATTTTGAATTAGAATTATAAATCTTTACGAACTGAAAGTGACTTGTGAGGTTTTAAATCATCCTTTATCGGGAATTAATCTTTAAAAAAGTGTAAAATTAAATATAGGTTTAATTTTATCTTTGATATACAAAACATACTAGAAATGGAATGAATCTTAGTGGAAAAAAAATACATTAATTATTTTTAAAAAACAAGATCAGCTTAATGAAAGCCTGATTTAGGCAACCAAATGACGCCAAACGACAAAAACTTTTTAAAGGTTGTCTCTCTGTCTTTTTACAATTGCAGAAGTAGTCATGAATTGAGATTTCGACCATAGTTAAACTGTTTAGAAACCTTTAGGTAATGTAGCGCTAACTGCAACGATTAATTTTGTACTCATAATATAAATGTTCCTGGACCCTTAAGTTTGGCGCCAATTGAAGCGATTAATTATTTAACAGAAAGTGATATTCTGACCGTGAATTACCCAGGACCTCAAGCTTGAACTAGCTCTTTGAGAAAGATATTCTTCCCATTGAGCTATCAGGGCTAAAAATTCCAAACAGACAATTTCTATCTTAGTCATTATACAACGCACAGCCAATAGCATTTTCATTTATAGTTTGCATTCATCTAGAATGTTCTGATAAGGAACTCAATAACATATTTTTTATAACTTTTATACTTTTATAACTTATAGCCTGTGTTTATTTGTTTTATTTATAAACGATCTCTCATTACGTTAATGATAGTCATCTAAATACTCGATCTTTGTGAGCTAGTTTAAGTTACTTTCGTCAGTTGGACCTTGTTCTGTTTCTAAGATGGGTATATAATTTTGTTGTTTTATCTATTTTCGTTTTCTATTCTAATGTATACATTGATGTTATTTTTCGCTTTTCTTTTACAACTTCAGTCATATTTATTTATCATATCTTTTAAACATCAACTATTGAATAGTTTTATAATTCTGAATAAATAGTAATTCTTTATTCTTAATATTTGCGTATAAAACAAAATGGGATAAACATGATCATTTACATGACTAAAGATTAGCTGATAAAGTACTTTGAATTTAACAAACAATCTTAGGTAGCGCTACACGTTAATTGTGGGGGGGCGTTATGTTTATATCGAATGTTACTGTTAGGGCAAAGCTGTTTAAGGTTTAACGAATTGTTAAAAACAAAACGGAAACAATAATATTTAATTACAATTTTTAAAGGACTTACAACTACTATTTAAAAATGGTTAGGACTGAATTTTAATATTTTAATGTAATATTTCATCTAAGTTACTTCTTTCGGTCTTACTCAGTGTTACTGAGTTACTTTGGACGTTTGGTTACTTGTCATAAGTCTTAATCAAGTTAATGATTATTCTTACTGTTTTGAGTCTTATTCGTACTCTCAGCCTTTGTGATTTCTGAAATCTCACAGTACCATACATAACATTACCTAGTTTTAAATAAAGCAAGGTTCATGTATAGCATTTGTTTAAGAATAACAAACATTACAATATCAAATTCAGAACAGTCGGCTATCACTATCAGTAAGGTTTTCTCTTCCCTCAATTTAGGTGAAATTAATTTAATGGTATATAAACTGATCGTTTTTTTTAATTCTGATTTATTAAAAGTAGTGTTATTTAGGTTATTAGCATAAAGTACTTTTTCCAATCTATATTTTATTCCATATGTGCCAAAATAACTAATAAAAACTACCAAAAATTATACTTGTATCAGATTGTTGCTTTGATGAAATTGCAATTTTATTAAAATTTTTTATCTAATACTTTACAGTTTCTTAGTTTTAAACACTATTTTGATTTGTAGATATCTCTGTTAAGTTATGCACTTTTGAACATAAAATGTACCAGCTCCAAATTTTTTTTATATTAAAAAAATAATTTTTAAACCTAGATCTAAATAAAATAAAAATTTTGTTGGTGGTTGGATTTGTAAGTAATGAACTTTTTGCATCATTAAAACATTTCATGTTACAGAGATTCAAATTTTGTGGTGACTTAGATTGTCCTGACTGGGTCTTGGCAGAAATAAATACTTTATCAAAAATTGTGAGTACATGGGGAGTGATTTTTATTTCTCTATGTTTTATACCTTAAAAACATATGTGTAGATTTATTTCATGAGGAATTGTATAAAATTATATATTTGATCATGTGAGAATTTTCATAAATGACATATGTATTGAATAATTAACTACAAAAAAAGAATAATATTATTATAGCAAAGCAAAGATAGTTTTAACTTATTAAATGTAAGAATAGCATATAATGTGAAGTGATAATTTTTTCTAAAGTGGTAGAGATGTTAATTACATACATTTAAAAATAAATTATAAAAAGAAACTGATTTTTTTAATAATATATGCCATATATACATAATATTAATTCTTGTATCTATATAGCCATTTTAAGGATCTGGTAGAAAGTATAATTTGATAAGTTTTAAAGTAACTTTTTTTTAAATTAATTTACTTTTAGAGTTTCACCATTTTTCTTTTATAGACAGAAATATTCATCAATTGACTTAATGACTTACTACTAATTAAATGGCAAGAGGTTGGTGTAGGTCATTTATTTTTATCAAATAATATAGTCTTCGTATTCTCAGAGTGGAGTAAACTACATTGAAAATGCTTTGTAGTTAAATTTTTTTAGTTACTAGTGATGTGCTAAACTTGAATGATATTATTACTGACTGTGGCTAGAAAATTAAGCCTTTGTCTAAATAGATGAAACTATTTATAGATAAATATATAAAAATGTTCAATCCTCCTTTTTTAACTAGTTAAAACATTTATATATAGGAAAAGAAATTTTATAAGTTTAAAAATAAAACTTATAATTACTCAATGAATGCATTTCTAGAATTAAAACGTTAGAGAAATTGAGAAAAGTGCAAGAACCTATTTTCTAATCAAGTACATATCAGTACAGTTGAAAACTTTAAATGATTAATATATTTATTTTATAGATATCTTAGTTAAAGTACTTAGTTTAAGTATACTTACATTGCACTGATAATATTAATTTCTGATTTACAGCAAACACAAACATGCAAATATAAAAGAAATTTTGTGTGAAAATACTATTTTTTTGTTTAGTTTTATGATTTTATGCTTTTTTTTTACTCTAACAGACATCTGTGAAAATGAAACTTCTATGTAACCAAGTTGTAAGTGATATTATAGGAAAAGGAATTGATGTAAGTACTGGTATCATGCAGTGTATTAACTTACGTGTGTACTTTATTAACTTACATGTGTACTTTTATCTAAGTTTAGTATCTAATTTAATGCCAAATAATTTGTTGCATTATCAACATGTCCATTCATTTTATAGTTTATATTTTTTATATCCAACATATTAACTTTTCATAACTTATGGCATTTTATGTTATACAGTAGCGACTTATTTTCAAGCATAAAGAGTTTGTAATAATTATGCAATGACATTATTTAGTTTAATAGGGATTTACAGATAAAAAATTCAAGATGTTCCAAAGCTTATTAACAAAAGCCATAGTTTAACTTAAACCTTTCTTTGTTGTCTTCTCTGTCATGTAAAAGAAAAAAAATAGTTATTTTAGTATTATTATTATTTCCTTTTTTCCTTTAGTTTTATAGATTTGAGCATTAAGTATGAAAATTAAGAAACCATAAATATCATATGTGGAGTATCTTTTAGTAGAACATACACAAAAAAGCTTGCATGAATCCTTCCTATCTTATTATATTCTCCCTTACTTATAGTTGTTTTACACACACACATATATATATATACACACAGAGAATATAAAAACCACAAAATCTTAGTCCATTTTTGAATGTGTTTGTGTATAAAAACATGCAATTTGATCAAAATAATCTTGTATGGACAAGTGAGCACCTTTCGGGTGACAAGTGTGCACCTGCATATCAGATTTCAAAATTTAAGTACAAATAATATTCCTAACTATTTAAACAATATTTATTTAAAAAAATGTAGAATCATAGTTTGTCATTTTGTTTAATTTATGTATTGCAATTCAGAAATAAAAACACAAAAAATATTCAAACTTACATTTATGCACAGCTCCATAAAGTTTCACCCATAAACGTCATGAGTATCATTATTTTTTGGAAGTTTTCTGCCATTCCAAGAATTAGTTATTAAGAAACCATCATTTCTTGAGATTACAACAAACCAAATCTTATATCTCTTGTTATTTTCCTTCTCTTTCTAACAATTTATTATTGAATGCCTTCATTCACAACACGTGCTCTGAGATCATAAAAGGATGCACAGTAGCAACTACTAATGAAGAACAAATTTGAAAACTGCTAAATTAAATACCATTGGATAGAGCAGGTTATGAACTACTTATGTCACTGTAAGGTGAATAAAGTTAATTAAGGAGTAACTAATGATTTTGTCAGAAAATGATTAGACAAGTTCCAGCAGAGAAGAGCAGCAAAAAAAAAAGAAAAAATTGTGTGGCAAAAGTTAGAAAAGTTAAGAACAAACCACAGATCTGAGAATTTTCTGTTATTTCTTTAGAAGTTCTTTTTGTTCTTGAAAATGTTTTTGTGTTATGTTATATTTGTTGGGAAGTTTTGTCAATATTCTTCTTACAAGACATTAGTTAAGCCTTATTGTGTTTAGAGAGAGTATGGTAGCAGTGGCAATATATGTGATGGTGATTCAATTATTTATTTATTGAATGTTATTATTTAGTTTTATTGCATTCAAACAATGCACATAAGTAAAAGAACTTGTATATTATTGAAAAGAAAGATATAACTTGATTTTGACCAATAATATTGATAGTAAAAATTTTGTTACCTAGCCTGACCTGGCACCATTTTTTTATAAATCAGGTCTTAGGTCACTGATAAATTTTTGGCAGCCGATTTACAATTTAAAGCCAAAAGTGGTGGCTACTACAGTTGGCAAAGTAGTTAAAAAAGAATAATTTTGTGAAAATTAAATTGAAATTGACTAGATATGTATAAAATGGAACTTTCTGATCAACAATAAAAGCAATTGAAACTCTAAGACTAAACAAGGAATTTTAATGTTTTTTTAAAAAAAAATTCACAACAAAAATTTTGTGAAATAAAAATTGATAGAAACTTAAATTTCATAAATTTTTTTAAAGCTGAAACTAGACGCTGTCTAGTAAGTTTGTCCTAAGTTTCATGGAATTTGATTAAGTAGTTCTGTAAGAAGGAGTAAAATCAAAGAATATCAGTGACCGCCCTGGTCTGGAAAAGTTTAATTCTGTCTTGTTAATTTTATGTTATATAATCTTTTTGCATTTTCTTTTTCAGTATGAAAAAGTTTCTAAACTTACTGCAGATGCAAAATATGGTGAGTTCTATTTAATTTCCTATCTGAAATAGTGTCTTAGAAAGGAGCTGATTTTTCAAGAGTGTAAAATTATTACACAGTCCATAAGATTTAAAGATCGGAAAAACATAACTAAAAAATGAAAAAAGTGCAAATTAAAATATTATTATGAGCAATTTTTCTTCAAAATATTTTACACAGGATTCAGTTGATAGGGTGGGTGTTATGTATGTATTTTATTCTTCTTTCTTAGCTGTTGGAGATATTAAAGCCAGTATAGCAGCTCTTGACTTTATTCTGTCTAGTGCTACAAAACACAGAGTAGCGGAAGAAACTTTGTCTGATGAACTCCAACAACTAGGTTTACCAAAAGGTATGTTTTAATCATACTTTGTGAACATTTTATGGTGTTTTAGTATGAACCATAATTTGAAAACTATATATAGTTAATTTGATATGTAGCATGGATGGATTGGGTGTTAGCTCTTTTCTATGTGAGTGCACATGAAATGCTTCTGTTTTGGAACTGTAAAAGATGTGACATTAAGTCTTGAACATTTATAACGGCTAAAGTAAGTCAAGAGGAAATATTGACTTTTCCAAGAGAAGAGTTTAATGATTGCAAAAAAAGTAGCAATTTTGTTTGATAACACATAATAAGTAAAGTTACTGGCTGCAATCCATTATGAACAAAATCCCTAATATACTTGGTCTTCAGCTGTTACAGAAACAATGTGCATGGACAGTATAAAAATCACTGCCTGACTAGACACGGAAAAGGAAATGTAGGCCACTTGTGTGACTGCTCGGCTT